TGTGACACACAATTTTGTTTGAGTGTCCACTCCTCTGCCATATAACTCAGGGGTGGATTCTAAACCAGCGGAGATAATCCTAGTCCCCTGTCATTCTTCTAGCCAACAAATATCTGTTGAATATCTACTCCTCTAAACACTATAAATTTCTGTCCCTGGAACTGATTGAGAAGAGACATGTGGCCCAATCCTAGTCAAAGACATGTAAGTGTGCTGGAGGATCGCTAGAAAAGGGGTCTCTACTCAAGTAAAGACACACAAGACGAGATGATCTCTTCATCTGCTGGCCACTGCCTGCCACTATATGGCTGGCACTGCAGGAGCTATCTCAAGGCCAGCAGGGCAGACTGCAGGCTAGAAGACGGCGGAACAGAAAGGGGTAAAGAAGCTGGCTCTTCACAGGTCACTGAGCTGCTGAATTAGCCAGCTTGCCAACCACCCTATCTCAGAACGTCTTGTTATGTAAGAAAATAACGAATTTCCTTAGTGTTTAAGCCATTTTGAAATGCATTTTCTAACACTTGTAGCCAAAAGCATCCTATTATAAAAGCCTATGGAGAAAGCCAAGGGCCTTCTTTGTTATTTAGACTCTACAAAAAGAATCACAAGGCTCCCTTCCTGTAGGAGCTGACCAAGTCTACCACATAGATAACATATATGAACTCACACATACTTGATGAGACAAATGGACACAATCCAATTTTGGCCTATATACAGCCATGCAGGGCAGCATTTACCAGGTCAAGGATAAATGCATTTCAAGTTGCCAAAAAATTGTTCCGGGCATGCTATCCACTGCAGGCACTTCCCCAAAACTGTCTGTGAAGGAGAGGGCACGTTTGGGCTCCATTTCTCCCATTCATTTTCATCACTTGAGTTGAGAATATGTGCCAAGGGTGGGGAGAATGGAAAATAAGGGGACAAGACTGAGTGAGAAGGGGCACGTACACTCCAGTCACAGAGGCAGCCGTTCGGCATGGGCTCCCGGGGAGGCCTGTGGCCTGAGAGCGGGCTCTAACAGGGGAGGCCACACACCTCACGGGCACCCTGCCCAGGGCCCTCCCAAATCCCCACCATCTCCACTGGCACCTTCCAAAGCCATCCCTAATTTGAAAATATTCAGTAACATTCTTTCATGTGGAAAAGTTAGTTTTACTACTCTTAGGTAAGGTGTGAATAAACAGATCTTTAGAAAACAAACGAGGTAAACACAGTATGTTTGCTATATATACATGGCTTCAAGAGAATCCAAGTCCTCCTTTTGCTGACTAATGTCCCAATCCCTCCTGCACAGGACACTGAACTGCCATCCTCCTTGTTTATATCTTCTATACCCATCTGAAACCTTATTGTTGACATGGTCTGCCTTTCGGTGAATGGTGTGTGTGTGTGTGTGTGCGCGCGCGCGTGCGTGCGCGTATGTGCCCGGGAGGAAAAGAAAGGATGGTAGGGCAGAAACAGAGTAGAAACAGGATACAGTAGGAAAGCTTAGATCAATGTGTCAGCTCCTGCCAGTCACAGACAACACACGGGCAACGAAGCATCGACTCAGTCACCACCCACCTCCTTTGTGGGATGCAAAGCATGCTACGTCCAGGCCAACTAAGACCCCACCCTGGGGGAAAAGACAAACCAGAGATTGACAGAAAAAAAGAGAAACAGGAGGAGACAGAAACATATTATGGAGAAAGTCAGAGATAAAGCATACCACAGTGGACCTAATATGAGATATGACCAGAGCAGCACCGCGGAAGGAAAATGCACAGCTCGTGCCCTGCCAGCAGGCTGACATCAAAGGCTGGGGGACATGGTAGCATGTTTCAGCCTTCTCACTGGTAAACCGAGCTGACTGAACTAAATGAGCTCTGTGCTCCTCCTCCCTTTGTGTGTATCATAAAGTCCATGCAGCCAGGATAAGAAAACCGAGCTTCAGTTTTATCTTTCCAGAATCAAAACAAAAGCACAGTCCCACAACGAGAGATTGAGCAGGTAAAGTCAACTTTGAAGATTAGAGAACTTCATTGGGGAACAGAGAGGCAAAGCCAGAAGAAATCACACAAAGTGTTACATCAAATAGATTTAATCCCCTTAACCTTCAGTGCCTTTTGTACCTCAAGAAAAACATCTGCTAATGAAGCCCCAATACTCAGCTCCTGCTAAAGACTTAGAGAAGGGACGGCTGTAAAATCACAGCTATTGAGAGACTACTCTTTTTGAATCCTCACACTTCTAAAACAGCTCTGGGCTCAGAAACAGCAAAATTTTTAAAAGGAGCCAAAAAGAAACCTTCAAAGCCATGAAAAAGTAACCCTTGAGAACTAAGCAACAAATAACACAGGTCAAGGAAAGCTGAAGACTTAAAGAACACACCCGATACCTTTGCACTGATCAGTTTCCTGAGGACATACGCATGTATCATGCTCTGATTGACTGATAAGGGAACAAAAAGACAGGACAGAGGACATAAGAGAAATAAAAGAAAAGTAGTAATAGAGGGCACAGACCAATAATGGTCATGGCATTGAGTGATGACAAAGAAGGAGGCAGCAGATCACAGGATACAGAAGGCAGAATGGCTGAGGGGAAGGGGAATAAACTGTCACTACCATCTGAATAGTCACCTAGTCATGTTTCAGAGGCTCCAAATGTCTGCTTTGGTGGTGGTCAGCCTTGTGTTGGTATGGAACCTGAGACAGAGTTTGCCATTTCCTTGCTTTGAGTTGTATTCTTAGGCCACCTTTGTATGGAAAGGCCAGGGTCCAGAGCTCAGGGAACCCACCCTTGGCTGGCCACTTATGCCATATACAATATGGCACTCTTGAAGGAGAGGAGGGTCTACATAACACCCAAGCACTCCTCCAACCTAAAATTCAACAAGAGGGAAGGGAAAGTTGGCAAATAGCCAAAAAGCTGTTTGACATCAGGGATTTTTTTCAGTAAATTTGATAGCAGGAATCCCAGCTACTTAGGCAGCTAAGGATGGAGGATTGCCTGATACCAAGAGTTTAAGACCAGTCTGGGCAACATAGTGAGACCCCATCACTAGCTACAAAAAATATAAAAACATAACTGGGTGTGGTGGTGTATCCCTGCAGTCCCAGCTGCTCAGAAGGCTGAGGCAGAAGGATTGCTTGAGCCCAGGAGTTTGAGGATGTAGTGCCCTATAATAACACTTGTGACTAGCTATTGCACTCCAGCCTGGGTAACAGAGCAAGACTTCATCTCTAAAAATTAAAAAATAAAAATAAAAATTCTACAGCAGGGTCAACACCCCTTTATTCCATGACTTACCCATATTATGCACAACTTGTCTTCATACCCTGATAACTGTGCATTACCAGCACCATCAATCCTTACGGAAAAGCCAAACTACATTTGACATATCTGCATAAGGTACGCAGATTTTCATTAGAAAATTATTTTTAACTTAAAAGCTTGAGTGGCTGGAGAGCTAAACTCAGCTCCCAAATAACCTGGCTATGTAGAACAATTCATTCTCTGAGGGATTCAGAGTCATGGTTTTAACAGCACGATTATTATGCTCGTCTGCTACATACTAAAACCACTACGTTCTTGTAAACATAGTGCTACATATGAGTCTGCCTCCAGAGTCCATGTTCATAATTATGATGGAAAACTCGCATTATTATTATTAGTATTATTATTATTTTGAGACGGAGTTTCACCCTTGTTCCCAGACTGGAGTGCAATGGCGTGATCTCGGCTCACTGCAACCTCTGCCTCCCGGGTTCAAATGATTCTCCTGCCTCAGCCTCCCAAGTAGCTGGGATTACAGGTATGTGTCATCACGCCTGGCTAATTTTATATTTTTAGTAGAGGCGGGGTTTCTCCATGTTGGTCAGGCTGGTCTCGAACTCCCGACCTCAGGTGATCCACCCACCTCGGCCTCCCAAAGTGCTGGGATTACAGACGTGAGCCACTGCACCCAGCTGTTGTTTTTACTCTCTCTTCTAGATGACTCGTATCTCAAAAAAAATAGGATAAAATTCCACTGCCAGCATCTTAGGAAGCCTGAAGGCCTTGACATGGAACATTTCCAGGTAGCATCTGATAACATTCACAATGAGCTTCTTACATTACACATTATAGCCTACTGAATAGCATGAACAGTTACAGAAGAAATGCATCTTAAAGCATGATATTTAAAACCCGAGTAGGGCCGGCCCATGGGGAATAACCCTTAAGAAAGACTGGAACAATTTCCAAATGTCATAGGTGTTAAAAATATATATATATATAAGACAAGAGTGAGCGTTTAGAAATGGTTACGGAGAACAAGTAGAGAATATTCTAGTAGGAAGTTACTGAAAGGGAATAAGAAAAAAGAAAGCAACTTTTAAGGAAGAATTCAGAGGAAAGGGATGAATTGTGAGCATGGCAGAACACCAAACTTGGTTTTTAAACAAAAGCTTTGCTTCACTCACTCCATAATCATGATAGGGGTAAAATTCAGAGTAATCCTTGTCTTTTTTTCCTGCTGATGAAAATTCATATCCTAAATGCATAATCAGCAAAGCTTATGGTGATAAAAGATCACTTGGGACAACTTATTTAAGTAATACTCATTACAGCATCGACCCTGTCCTTAGCAAAAAAGAAGAACTCAGCAGTAATGGAGTATTTTATGACCCAACTAATAACAAAAACAGCAACAAAAAGAACCACATTTATTGAGAGCTTATAATTTGTCAGTCATGTTCATAGTGTTTAACGTGCACCCATTTAGTTAACCCTCACAACTGTACCTATCTGTTATCTCCATTTTATAGAAGAAACTGAAGCATTGTCAGCACTCTTGGGAGGCTTCCCTGGCGCTAGGAAGTGGCAGAATGGGCATTCTGCCTCCAGAGCCTGTGCCCCTAACCACTACACAAAACTCAGATTATTTCTTTACTCCATCTTCTAGATGACTCACATCTCAAAAAAACCAGAAAGGTACAATACATAGGAGAAATGTGGTAATGCATGACGTTACTTACCATTGGGGAAAGCTAACACACTGATGATAAGAAAGAAGAAAATAACAGAGAGGATGCCTCTCCAGATGTTGTCTTCTGGAACAGAGTCATCCCTGAAAATAGAAAAACAACATTGAGCATTTACTTTCAGATCCAAAAAGAAAACCTAGAGGAAGGAAGACTTCCATGCTCTAAAAACTAGGGGACTGCTACATGTATGACAGGATTGAACTTAGGTTCTGAAATAAGAGATTATACAGATCATACAGTACTTCTTAGATCATTATATGTCCAAAAAGGAACTAACAAACTAATGCTGACTGCTAATTTCATAGACCTAATTATAAAACCAGACTACATAATCAGACACACTTTACCTTCCAGTGAAGTGCACTTTTAATAGACACCTAACAATTGAATATCTGCCCAGAGGTTATAAATGTGGCCCTCAAAATGCCAGCCTGATCTTTACGAGGGTACTTATGATGCCTCTGGCTTAGGTAGGGAGGCCCAACATCCAATTTCCAGGAACACCAATTTTTACTTAAGAATGGCTGCACACTGAGGGGACACAATGTCCTCATTCAGACTGACATCACATTATTGACATTGGGAATGATGTTGCAACAGTAATAGCTCCCATTTATCTATCCACTCTGTGCCTGGCACTGACCAGGCAGTTTATAAACATTATCTCTAATGATCACAAGTTTGCAAAATGAAGTCGTATCAACCACATTTTACAAAATGAGGTTGCAAAAGTTCAGAAAGATTAAGTAACTTGTCTGAGGTTGTGTAGGTAAGATGTTGCTAAGCTGGCATTCAAAACCAGGTCTGCTAGACACTGAAGATAATGATTCTTCCCCCAAGCCAAGCTGTCTCATGAAAAAATGATCTGTCACCCTAAATCAGCCTGACTTATGTTAGAAGAGGCACAGGGTTGGTATAAGAGACATTTACAGGACACACAATATGTAGGTTACAAATTAAAAGCAAGGTTGAAATTAACAACTGTTGCATAGGAAAAGAAGGTTGATTGTAACTCATATTTTATAATAAATATATTCTGGAAGATTCAAAAAATTAAAATTAAAGATTAAAAAAATACTGGAAGAAATTGGAGAATTAAAAAAACACAAATGAACCTCAAAACAAAGCAATCAATAATCATGAAGTGGTAAATTCACATGGCAAAGAAATCTGTAACAAAATCAAAGGAAAAGAGGTAAACTTGGGGAAAAAAAATTTATAACTCATATCAAGACAAAAGACTAATTTCCTTAATATGCAAAGCATTTTCCTCAAAATCAACTAACAGGAAGAACAACAAATGAACACAGAAAAACAAACAGAAAAACGGGCAAAGGATATGAAGTTTGTTTACAAAGTAAAAAAGTCCAAATAGAAAAATGGGCAAAGCATATGAAGAGTTTGTCCAGAGAGTCAAAAATCTAACGCTCTTGGAAGTGAAAAGATGGTCAACCTCACTCATGGTAAGCTAAAATAGAGACTATTTTAAAAGCCTACCTTATTGAAAAACGGGCAAAGGACATGAAGAGTTCAGGCAAAGGGTATGAAGAGTTTGTTCACAGAGTAAAAAATCTAAGTCTCTGAGAAGTGAAAAGATGGTCAGCCTCACTCACGGTAAGTTAAAACAGAGACTGTTTTTAAAATCTACCTTATTGATAAAGGTAAACCTTTAATGACTGAGCTGGGGAGGATATGAAGAAACAGGAAAATAGGCATATGCTCATACACTGCTGGTAGCAGTATAAATAAATCGTCTTTATGGAGGCAATTTGCCAATATTTTAAGTCTACAAATGCATATACTCTGTGACTCAGGAATTTTACTTTCGGGTATTTATTCTTTAGATAAACTCTCATTCATGGAAAAATGACATATATCCCAGATTGTGCACTATGGCATTACATGTATTCTTAAAAAGTTGGAAGCAATCAAAATGTCCACCAAAAAGAGACTAAGTAAAGAAATTACAGTCCAGTCTTGCAATGGAAAGCTAGGCAGCCATTAAAAAAAATAAGGAAGCTTTTTAAGAATCAACTGATTCATAATACTTTAAAAGATGTCATTAAGTAAATAAAGCAAATTGCAGAATAGTGGGTATAATAAGCAACTACTTGTGCAAAACAAGGTGGGGGAATGTGCATGGGTATGTAGCTTATAATGTATGCTTATACCTGCATAGGATGTCACTGGAAATCCACCCAAAAAATGGTGACACTGGTTTTCTCCAAAGAGGAAAAATGAGGGGTTGGGGAGAAGTATGGAGAGAGGTATTCACCACATACCCTTTGATGTATCTTGGATTTCAAGCGATGTGAATACATCATTCTTTTTGAAAACATTAATTAAAATTTTAATTAATGGGTTATTATTAACCACAAATAAATGGCTATGGCAAATCAGTAAATTCGTCTCTATTTAAAATTATCTACCAATCAAAATGCTTGAAAATGTACATCAGCACTAAATTTGTAACTAAATGGGTAATACATTAGGATATAAAACCAATGAAATGGCAGTTTTGTAAATTTTGAGCAATTTTATTAGAAAAAGAGGATCAAATGGATGGCCTAGTTTCAGAGGGGGGAAACTGTTGATTAAATGGAATAAAATAGCAGTTGGGTCTGAAAAGTTGGCAGTTTTATATTTGTCTAATTAGGAAAAAAATGTATTAATGAAAGACAGTGAGGTCTTTGGATAAACTGAAAATACGCAGTATGGGAAGATCAAACTTCTGCAATCAAAGATTAGGAGATAGGAGAGTGAGTTTACGAAGCCATGTGAGTCCTATCGGACTAGAGGCCCCAGTGTCACACTCTACTGTGAGTTTTGAGAGCAGAGAGGGTGTCCCCACCTCATCTAGAATAGCCCCTTACCAGTCTGTGGTGGTGGTGCACAAAAAGAACAGAATCCCTGACAGGTGAGGACGCCAAACTCCCCTCTGGCCACAGGGCAACCTGAGCACACAGGGCCATTCTGTAAGGTCTGCTGTGAGTCCCTCCTGTCTGAACCCCGAATAATCCAGAGATTTAACCACATGCTGAGGTTACCATAGTTAGTCATGAAACAGAACTTGGCTGCAGAGTCCAGATGAGTGGACCCTAAATGAGGGACAAGATCTAGTATCCATGGACGGCCACTATATTCTAGTGGCTTTGCATGTTAACCCTCTGAATCTTCGTAACACTCTAAAGCAGGAAATGATCATAATCTGCATTTTACTGATAGGGCCTGGCCCCAAAGCACAAACTCTTTCCCCTACAGGAGACCATACAGTGCAGTGACTGGTACAGGCTGGGGCCAGACCACCAGCCTGTGTGACCCTGGGCAGATTACTTAATCTCTCAGTGCCCCAGTTTACTCCTCAGTAAACAGAGGATGGTAATAGTTCTACCTCATAGGGTTGTGTGAGGATTAAATAACTGAAAACGTGTAAAGCACTTAAAACAGTTCCTGGCACAGAGGAAGCGTCCGTTATTATCATGAGTTCACAATGTTTAAATGCCCTTCATTTATGTCCACTCATTCCTTCATCAAATTAATGCCTATCATTGGGTAGGGACTCTTTGAGGTCGGAGATGAAGAGACATGGCCCTTATTCTTGAGTGGATCAAGATAAAAAAGGACAATGAGACATTACCTTGCCCTGAAGGAAATGTTTTTCATATATAGGAACTATCTCTGACAGACCTCAAAAAAGCCCGGGTATTCACCTGTGATTGGCCCCTTGGTGGGGTTGTCACTGTCTCCTACGGCTTTGTGAGGCTGCAGTGTGGTTCCTGCTTCTCAGGAGAGATCATGACTTGTGCTCTGGGCTGCCCAAACCTCATCTCGACTCTTCCTGGTCCAAGGGTACTTGCTCAGCTAAGATATTTCAGTTCACAGCAACAAAAAATAAGAAGACTCAAAGCTTTCCATTGTGATGCTGTGTGTGACACCTCCTTGACTTCTTTCCTGGGTCTACTGCAGCTACTAACAACAAAATGCCCCGGTCTGCAGTGCCCTGAACACTCCAAAGAACTTTCACAGCTGGTATTTTATTTAACTGCTCTACAGTTCTGTGAGGGAAGGCAGAGCAAATATTATCTTTGCTTGAAGGATGAGGAAAATTAAGCTCTTGGTTTATCTTGCCCACAGTCACACACAAATAGAGGCAGAGTGGAAGTAGGTATGAAGCCTTCTGGAATGTTGGCTCTAGGTCAAGACTGCTATTATACATTCTCCAATAAGGACACAAACAGACAAGCTTAGGGAGGCAAAGTCTTCCTCGCTCTCTGCTAAACTTAGGAGATGCTCCAGCATAGCACCGACCACATATTGTAAAAATACCAAATGTACAGCTTAAAGTAAGAAAGCTCCCTAGGGCACAAGTCCCACCTCATTTCCCCAAGGTAGCTCTGGTTCCTGGCACAATGCCCTGGTACACAGTAGGCATCCACTTGCCATAGTAGTTGGTAAGAATGAGCAAGATGATATGGCAGAGTAGGCCAGTGACTCAGGTAACATGAGCGGGGAGTCTTAGCCTGACCCACAGGGTCCACTGGCAGCGACTTCCCTCTCCCCTTGCAGAGTGTTGGCTACATAGGGCTATTGAGACCATCAGCAAATATCTAAAAGCTCGACAAGTTTTCAAACACCTTGGCTTCTTCTGCAGAGCATTGTTTCAGCTAGGATAGGGAACTACCCAAAGAGACAACGTCTTAACAGCAGGAAAAGTGTCAGGAAAGCCCTGAGTTTAAAAAAAAAAAAAAAAAAAGTTTGCACTCCAAAGAATTTCTGGACTCCGACTCTGATTCTGTCTCAATTTAATATTTGAGTACAGGAATTTGACCACAGGAGTGGTAACTTCAAGAAACCAAAGCAAACTCCATTCACTTGCCTACAATCTTTTAGACAAGTCTTTCTCCCTGGGGTCAGGCAGCCAGGAATGTCTAACCTTTATTATGATTCCTAAGGCTTCTAGGTTAATTGTCCCTCTCCTCCTCCCATCTTCTCCCTCATTATCCTTAATATGAGTCCTTGAAATAAAGACCTACAGGTTCATATTTAGTTAAGTCACTGTTAAGGATCATCTTTCCCAATAAAA